CTGCCCAGCCAAGCCTTCTTCCCCTCCTCATCTCCCTCTGGGCCTTGGCCAGGGAAGGGGGGCAGGCTGAGCCTAGACGCTTGCTATTCTCGGGGTCCCTTCCGGTACGTAGAAGTCCCGTACCCACCTTAGCTTCTGTGTGACAGTCCACTGCCAAAATGTTCCCTTTCCCACAGACGAAATCAGGAGAAAAAGGAAAGGCATCTGTTCTTCTGGAAACTTTCTTTTTTTGTTTGTTTTCCTTTTTTTTTTAAGTTTATTTATTTATTTTGAGAGAGAGAGAGAGAGAGAGAGAGAGAGAGTGAGAGAGGATGCAGGGGAGGGACAGAGAGAGAGGGAGGTAGAGAAACCCAATCAAGCTCCGGGCTGTCAGCGCGTGAATCTCATGAATCGTGAGATGACGACCTGAGCCAAACCCAAGAGCCAGACACTTAACCAACTGAGCCACCCAGGCGCCCCTGTTGTTCTGGAAACTTTTAAAGATTGTCTCGAAGGCAAAACAAAGCAAACATCGCATCCCTTTCAGGATGGGGGATGCTTTTTCCCTCTGGCATGGAAACTGGGATCCTGCAAAGCGCAGCTGGTCCGCTGTGGCTTCAGGAACGCAAGGCAGGTTAAAGGGTTGCTGGTGAGCCTGAGACATGGGGTCCTCTACCTGGGCAGGCAGAGCTGGGGTCCACGATGCGGAGCTGGGAGCCACAAGCTGCAAAACTTTCCTTTTGTAAAGGAAAAAGGTCGGTTTGCTTAGGAATTCACCAAAGAGTTTTAAATTCTCCTTTTCTTACCCCTACGTTTCTTCCTCTCCTGACTGTCCTGCATCGACTCAGATGCTATTTTTTTCAAATGCAGTCTCCTCTTGGCCCACTGATACTTCTAGAACCACAATGATTCCTGAGAAGCTTGCCTCAGCTCTGCACACCAGTTTGTTCATGTCCTGGAGTGACCTGTCCCAGATTCCATTCTACAGTTTGTCATCAGTCTGCACAGCCAGCGTGTACTTTGACCTTGGGCAAAAATTTCATCTCCCTGTGACTCAATTATCTTATGTAAAAATGGGACAAATGATGATATCTACAGCATAACATGCAAAATCCTTCGAACAAAGTATGGTACATAGTAAACAGCCAATAAATATTACTACCATCATTATATTGACTATCTTTATTACTGTTACTCTGACAAATCCTTACATGAATCCCTACATGCAGCCGGGGTAAGTCTCAGGTCACAACTCAAAGGCAAAAAATGTAAGTCTATTTAGTTTCTTTTGTGTGTGCTCATTCTCCTGGGTGGCAGAGACTTCATTCCAGTTAATTCAGAGTCTCTTTCTCCCTAGGGTTGTGTCTAACTTTTGGACCTGGGTCCTAGGCCAGCCATGCACCCAGGTGCCTACAGTGGAAGTGACTCCCCAGAGAGCCCAGCTTAGACCCAGTTCTTACTTCCTGGGGAGAATGGAAGCAGAGAACACCTCTAGAAGGAGTCAACTCTCTCTGCAAGTTCAGGGGGAATGACAGGAGGGAGGGTCATGGTGGTGTAAATTTTTAGAATCCTACACAATGTGTTTTTCATTACTGCTAATTCATTTTTAGTCTATGGCCCTTTACCAGTCAAAGTAGACAGTGAGGCACCCATGGTACATGCCAGGGAAGGGTTAGTATGTCGGAGAAGCAGAGGAAATGCTTTTTGGAGGTTCAAACATCTGGATATTTCTGTGTCAAAAGCCTGGCCTTGAAAGAGTCACCGCATTCATTTTATGCCATAGACGCTAGATTGGAAAGAATATGAGGTGATGGTAAAAGTCAGGTCTTGCAACAAAATGAGATACAGATTCTGTCAGTTGGAAAAGAAGAGAGTTAGAAAGGAAACCGATAAATTAGATTCTGTGGGGGTAGGATGAGCATGTAGTTTAGCATCTAAACTGGTTCACTTTTGAAAGCAAAAAAGGGCGGGGCGCCTGGGTGGCTCGGTTGGTTAAGTGTCCAACTTCAGCCCAGGTCGTGGGTTCGAGCCCCACGTCAGTATCTGTGTTGGCAGTGCAGGGCCTGCCTCGGGTCCTCTGTCTCCCTCTTTTTCTGCTGCTCCCCTGCTCCCCCACACCCCCCATCCTCACCCTCACTCTTGCTCTCTCTCTCAAAAATAAGTAAAAAAAAATTTAAGAAAAAAAAAAACAGTGAAAGGGAGCTCTATTACTATGCCAGCTCCCCCTATCCATGGGGACATGTTCCAAAACCCTCAGTGGATGCCTGAAACTGTAGATAGCACCAAAACTTATATATGCTTTTTTCTATACATACATACCTATGATGAAGTTTAATTTATAAAGTAGACACAGTAAGAGATGAACAATAGCTCCTAATAAAATAGAACGATTATACCAACATACCATAATAAAAGTTATGTCAGTGTGGTCTCTCTCCCCGTCTCTCAAAATACCTTACTGTACTGTACTCACCCTTCGTCTTCTCGCGATGATGTGAGACGACAAAATGGCTACATCACGAGATGAAGTGGAGCGAGTGACGTAGGCATTGTGACAGAGAGTGGCACTGCAATCGACCTTCTGATGACGGGTTGTTATGCCCAGAATTCGTGATCCCCAAAGACCACCAGGGAGCCGAGTCCGATGCAAAAGCAAAAGAGCCTTTATTCGAGCTAGCTCGAGCTCAGTCCCCTACCTGCACCGACGTAGCAGTGAGATACCAGGGAGAGAGAGCCAGTTTCAAAAGCACAAAGGTTTTATAGGAGTCTAGGGGCAGCCGATTGGCTGGGGAAGGGGCGTGGCCTCGGCCGATTGGCTGGGGAAGGGTCAGAGTCCTGTTACGCAGGTCGCTGGGCGTGTTTTGATCAGGAAGTTTGAATGGGTGAGCGGGAGGTTACTCAAGGGGAGGAGGCGTGGTCTAGGTGAAGGACACAGAACAAGATGGAGTCGGCTGGCGTAGGCCCACCCTTTCAGGGTCAGGGGAAGCTCATCTGCCTCTGGGCCACCGTGGACCGCAAGTAACTGAAACCAGGGAAGGCGAAATCACAGACAGCGGAGAGCTGTTGAATTCTGCTGGGATCATAGGCACAAACCAGGACTGTCTCAGGCAAACCAGCCCAGACATATGTTCACCCTATACATGGGCCCCACTCCCTATCCCCACACCTGGCTCAGGACAAACGAGACGTTTCTAGAAACCATAGATTTGCTTGGGGGATCTGAAAGGAGAGCTCCTGTTCCTCTTTGCTTATGAGAAAGCTTCAGGGGTCCCATCTAGCATGCTGAGGCAGCATGGCTACGAAGCATGGCGGCATAGACACGGTGCACAAAGCCTGATGCAGTTCTCCATGTACCAATGTGGCAAGGAAGCACGGACGCTTGTTTTCTCTACCCCAAAGAGGTCAGTGGTAGCTGAGAAAGAGCCAGGCCTGGAAAGCCCATGGAGCAGCGACACAAGGGTCAGATGGAAGGGGAGCACCCCAGCAGAGGGCCGGGAGTGAAGACAGTGAGGCAGAATCCAACCTGCCTGCAGGCCATCACCATTAGGGCCTCTGTCTTCCACCACAGGCAAGCAACGACTCCTGGGAAACCAGAGGGGAGCCCACACCCACACCAATGAAGTAGCCCATGGAAGGGGCAGAGATGCCCTAATTTGACTGACACTTCATTTCAGGTGCCCGGCAGAACAGGGACTTGATACAGAAATGACATGGCTGTGACTATGGCGTGACTTATCCCGCACATCTGAGTTGTGGCCTGAGATTCACACCCACTTTACAACGAAACAGAGAACTCAGAAGTTAGAACGTCAAGTCCCAAAGGCAGAAGTCTCGCAACTTTTAGATACAAATATTGCCAGATAGAAATATTGCCGTAACTGCTGGTGGGAATGCAAACTGGTGCAGCCACTTTAGAAAACAATATGGGGATTCCTCAAAAGTTAAAAATAGAGCGACCCTACGACCCAGCAATTGCACTACTAGGTACTTACCCAAAAGATACAAAAGTGCTGATTCGAAGAGGCCCATGCACCCCAATATTTATAGCAGCACTATTGACAATAGCCAAATTATGGCAAGAGCCCAGATGTCCATCGACTGATGAATAAAGAAGATGTGGAATAGAATGGAATATTACCCAGCAATCAAAACGAATGAAATCTTGCCATTTGCAACAACGTGGTTGGAACTAGAGTGTGTTATGCTAAGTGAAATAAGTCAGTCAGAGAAAGATAAATATCATATGATTTCACTCGTATGTGGAATTTAAGAAACACAACAGATGATCATAGGGGAAGGGAGGGAAAAATAAGACAAAAACAGAGAGGGAGATGGACCGTAAGAGACTCTTAAATACAGAGAACAAACTGAGGGTTGCTGGAGGGCTGTTGGGTAGGGGGATGGGCTAAATGGGTGATGGGCATTGAGTAGGGCGCTTGTTGGGATGAGCACTGGGTGTCATATGTAAGTGACGAATCACTAAATACTACTCCTGAAACCATTATTACACTATATATTAACTAACATGGATTTAAATTTAAAAAATGTATTGCCTTAGTGTCTAGATGTCTAGGGCATTTTGTTATATGTAGACATGCATATCTACACACAGAGAAGGCCTGGACTTTGGGGGAGGTACTTTGATAGAATATTCAGGGGAAAAAATTCACATAACCTTCAGCCCAGGGTTTTATTTCTCAGCATCTGCCTTAGAAAAACAATTGCCCAGATAGTGCATTAGAAGGAATGTGAAAGGATTTTCAGTTATGCTGTTTATGATAGTGAAAAATTGGAAATACCCTAAATGTCAGTCAATAGGGAAGTGGTTAAATAAACAGCTGTATCTCCACACTACTAAGCAGTAAGTTTTAGAAATGTGTTAGATTTGGAGCACGAGCAGCTCAGTTGGTTGAGCGTCCAACTCTTGATTTCGGCTCAGGTCATGATCCCAGGGTCTTGGGATCCAGCCCTGAGTTTGGCTCCATGCTGAGTCGATTGTGGAGCCTGCTTAGGATTCTCTCTCCTTCTGCCCTTCTCTGCCGCTCATACTCTCTCTCTCTCTCTCTAAAAATAAATACAAAATTTAAAAATGTGTTAGGTTTTATATTGTTCTGAAGTGTAAAAATCCTCAAAATATAAATTTTAAAAGCAAGATATGGAACGACGCATGCAGTCTGGTATTATTTATGTAAACACATATAACACACCTCACAAACATATACATAAAAACCTGTATTTGTCTATAAATTTGTTAAAGTAAGTGAATGTAAAAAATAAAAATCTGGAGGGGCGTCTGGGTGGCTCAGTGGGTTAAGCATCCAACTCTTGGTTTCAGCTCAGGTCATGATCTCACCACCATTTGTGAGTTCGAGCCCTGCATCAGGCTCTGTGCTGACATCTCAGAGCCTGCTTGGGATTCTGTCTCCCCCTCAAAAGAAATAAACAAACTTTAAAAAAAAAGTAATATATATAAAAAAAGAAAAATCTGGAAAGATATTCACCACACTGAAAACAATGGTTAACTCTGAGGCAAGGTTTACAGCTGGGGTATTGAAGGTTAAGGTAGATGTTTTCACTTTACGGGTACAGTTGAATTTTTTACAGTGAGAATATATTCAGAAAACACCCAATTTTTTTAAAAAGGCCCCTTTGTAGCAGCCAGGAAGCAGATAGTGCAAATTAGGATAATTTGAGGAGAGTTTAGTTAAGGGACAGGTTACAGTTACAGGTAGGGTTTAGGAGAACTACTCAGGAGAGTGATGTGAAAACAAGGAGAAAATCATGAGGTGACTTTCCTGGAGGAGAAATGTGACCCGTGTTCTAAGGATGCAGCTGATCAGAGGAGTTAGGAAATAAATTCCCTGACATCGTTCTCCTCCTTCCCTCCCATCACCTGCAGGAGCTCCCCAGCGGCCAGATCCAATGGGAAGCCAGGGAGTAAGGGAACTTGTTGAAGTAGTCCACAGAGTGAGCAGAAAGTAGAAAAGAGAAAAGCAGAGGACAAAGGACTACCTGACTGATAGAAAACAACTGGTGAGTTGGGATGTCTGAACAAATGTCACCTCTGCCCCTTTCCTGAATTCTGAACAAATCGACATCTATGACAAAATAAGGCAGATGGGAGCCGCGCATCATCTTCAGAAAGGAACAGGGGCTGGGGTGGAAGACACTAGCGTGAGGGACACGCGTCTTCCCAATACTGAATAGAAGCGTGCATCGTGCGGACCTGTCACAGCCCTGCCGCTGCGACAGAGCAGACCCCTCCCCGAGACAGAGAGGGAGAGGGGCTGAGCAGGACCAACTGAAGTCTCTCCATTGCTCGCCATCTCCCAGGTCACATGGGCTCTCCTGGAGTGGCGTGAGGGAAGGGGAAGAGTCTGGAAGATCCGTGCCCTCACCCCTCATGTGCACTGAACTAGAGAGAGAAGGGAGGGTGTGTTCTCCACTAACAACCAACAGAAAAACTGCGCAAGGGATACAAACAAGAAAGTTACATCAAAGGAGAGGAAGGGAGGGAGGCAGAAGGGGAATGGAAGTCAGAAGGGGAGAAAAGAGGACAGAGCCCTCTCCATAGGGGTGTTTATGGGGTGGAGATAGCAATGCAGAAGATATTTCATGGGAAAGGGTTGGAAACCAGGACGGGGAGGACGCTCATTTTATTCTTCATGGATGGTATTGCTTAATGTGTTATGTAGAGTGTCCGTAATTAAAAACAGCGTCTCGGTAAGTGAAAAAGCCACACGCCTCCTTTTCTAGAAAGAAAAGAGAGTGTTAATTTTGTCAAAGGCAAATGCTACGGAGAGATGAAGTGCGGACTTTGGGTCGGGCTATGAACTAGGAGGTTCTTGCAGACATCAACAAGGGCAATTGAGGGTATGGTGGCAACCCCAAGTTTGGTTTTGGTGAAGTGAGGCAATGTAGGTGATGAATGAACACGTGCTTTCAAAGAACTGGCTACGGCAGGATGATGTGGTGGTGGCTGGAGGGAGACAGAGGGTTCCGGCCAGACTTTGTTTTATGGCAGGGGAGAAGTGAGCCCATTTCTATGCAGTAGGGAAGGTGACAACACAGAGGGAGAGAGAAGATGGGCCACGACGAGCAAGGTCTCCGATGAGACAGATGGAGGGCAATCTTGGCCTCTAAAATAGGCAGGGAGGAAGCAAGGTGAGCGCAGTTGCAGGTAAGCCTGTGGGTGAGAAAGGAAGACCGTTTCTGGTCAGAGAGAAGGCAAGCGAGGAGAGAGTTCCAGTTTCCGAATAGGAGCTGACAATCTGGTTGAAGTTGGAGACCACTCATTTCACCGACCCGGTAGCACCCACGGAAAGGCTGGCACAGAGACCACTAAGTTTGGTGGGTGCTAAGGAACATGCATAACACATAAGACAGTTGGAGTTCAGAACTCTTGCGAGTGGGCGATTCAGTTGCAGTCTGGTGTGGATAGAAGGGGCAAAAGGGCCTCTTGATACAGAGAGAGAGCACTCTGTACTTCCCATACTGTTGAAGGAACTCCCTGTTTATTTTCTGCCACCAGCTCCTATTAGAGTATAATTATCTCCATCGTCTGTCTAGTTCTCTTTCTGAGAATGGAGACTACGTGGCAAATGGTAATTAGTTGGTTAATAACTGTCCACTGAATAACTAAGGGGAAAAGGGAGGGGGGGAGTGATATGAGGGAACGGATCTCTTAACGAGCTAGAGAAGAAAGTAGTGTGGGATTTCCTTTCATTAAACTTGACAAATACGGGCATCTCTTCTGCACCTTAGGTACCAGGCCAACCACGGCACACTGGAAGACGCAGTCCTGCGTTTCCAGAGTATAGGCTGGAGGAATACCAGAGCAAACCGTGGAGGCTACGATCAGAGCCTGACGTCACGAGGGGAGCCTGGGTGTCTTGGTTAAGCGTCCAACTTCGGCTCAGGTCATGATCTCACGGTTCATGACTTCACGCCCTGTATCGGGCTCCCTGCTGTCAGGGCTGAGCCCGCTTCAGATCCTCTGTCTACCTCTGTCTCTGCCCCACTCCTC